ATAAGGGAAATTACGAGTGGTGAGGAGATACTGTAAGGACAAAACAGGCGAAGAAGGTCCGCATCGACCTGAGGGGTAATGTGGGCAAGGGGTGAATGATCAATTACCTAATAAACATAATGCGTGTCCACGATCAAATTAAAGGGACAATCAGCAAAAAGTTGAAAGGCCAAAATAACAGCAGCTAATTCCAAGGACTAGTGAAGCTCTCCAAGCGCTGTGCATGCAAATGTTGTTGTACAAATGAATGAAGCGCTTTCAGCTTTTCTAGGGGGAGGGGCCACTGGTCAATCCATACGGGCTCTAAGGATTGCCATACCAATGGTAATGTGGATGGCAAGGTGGGTGAGGGAGGATTTTGGGCCATTATATATTAATATTGAGGGTGGTGTCCAGCTTTACAAGTAAGTCACGGCCCCAAATATTGAGGTGGACAGGGAGCACAAAAGGGCGGATTGTAGCAAGGGCACGGCCTCCTGGTTTAGAGACCGTGACCCAAGACAAACTTTGGGTCTGCTACCCCCGATCCCCCACAACGCTTTAGAAGGAACTGTTGGCCAACTGACCGACCACTCCGGATCACAAATCACCGTAACATCAGCTCCAGTGTCCACCAGCCCTGTAAAAGGAACATTATTTAAGAGAAGTGTTAACTGAGGTTTCAAGGGGCAGAGCGACATTGTTAGAGCAACAAGTGGAGAGGACGTGTTGTGAGACGGCAACTGAGACAGCGTCGATCCAAAGCTGTTCCCGCCCCGGGCTCGATCCTCTGCGGCTGGCACCTGATAGGGGACTAAAATCAATTGCACAATTGACCGTCCACGCGGGAGCGACTGCGGAAGATGGGTCCACACCTGAACCTTAATAACACCAGTGTAATCGGCGTCAATGACCCCTGGGATGACAAAAAAAACCCTGTTTCCCAGCGTGTGAGCGAGGGAGAACCAGACCTACAAATCCGGCCGGGAGAGGTCCCGTCACCTGGGTAGGTATGGCGCAAACCTCCCCTGGCAACTGAAAATCAGCGTCCTCCTGCATAATCAAATCAAGCCCTGCACTTCCGGTAGTTGCCGCCCTCATGGAGTCTATGGATTTTAAGGCAGAGGAACAGTTGTCTGAGTGGGAAACACCCCTGTTTGGCCCTGGGTTCGGGGGAGACCTGTTGTGCGGTTTCCCGACCCGCTACGACACTGATTAGCCCAGTGATAGCCCTTCCGACACTTTGGGCACTTCTTTGAGGGGCGGGCGGGCGCCGTCGATGAGCGGCACTCCCGCTGAAAGTGACCCTCCTTACCACAGTGGTAACAACGCTTCCCCTCCTTCTCGCTTTTCCGCAGGGCGGCGGCCAGAACCCCAGCTTTATGTGCTTGTGTGCTGATGTTTTGGCACGCCCGCAGCACGTCCGACAGCTCTAGAATGCCAGCAGTTTGTGCCGCCTGGAGAGCACGGCGGCAATCCTCGTTCGCATTTTCAACCGCCATTTTTAACAGGATCTCCTGAGCTGCCACAGGGTTATCCACCTGTCGGAGGATAGCCTCCTGCAATCTGTTGGTAAAATCCATAAAGGACTCTGATGCACCCTGATGGATACTGGCAAAGCTTTTGGTAGGCTTGCCTGAATCCGGGACCTTCCAGAAAGCATGCTGGGTGCAGGTGAAAATAATGGGGAAAACAGCCTGAGGGAGTTGAGACTGCATCTGAACGGTAGCAAACTGGCCCTCCCCTGCCAAGTGCTCATAAGTGACACCTTGCTCTCTATATACCTGGGCTTGGCGTTCCGCCATCTGCCGATACTCACTAAGCCAAATAACATACTGACTGGGCGTCAGCATCATGCGCAACAGCGCCTTCCAATCTTCAGAGATCAGAGTGTACCCAGTACCTAGCCCTTCAATGAGACCCCGTACATACGTGCTAGTCAGGCTGAACTCGCGAATCGCTTTCTTTACGTCTCTGATCACCGAGTAAGGCAAACTGACCCAGTTTGCAACCTGGTTGCCCTGGCCATCATCCTGCCAGGTCACCGGACAAACTGAGACCAGATCAGCCAGCTCCTCTGCTGTAATATCTGAGCAAGTCTTCGCTGAGTGAACCATTTGTTGCACCAGCGAAAGCCCCTGAGCAGATGCGGACGACCCCCCGGGGGGCCCTGGAGCATGGGGCCCCATGGGGGGATGGTAATCACACACCGGCTCCGGTGGGGAAGGCAAGGGAGGCAGTGGTAATAGAGGCACTGGGGGCGAAGCAGCGGGAGGGATGGCTGCAGGAGCGGACGGGAGTGGTGAGAACATCAGCCCCGCGAGGGAGGGCCTGTCTGAGGCGACACACTGTATCGCGTCGCGGCAGAGGTGCCAGGCATGTAAAGCCTGCACGGGCGCCCGAGGCTCTTTGTGCAATGTCTGGCCCAACCGCTCCCAGTCCGCTAGCTTAAGGGTTCCGGCTTCAGGGTACCACAGGCATTGGGCACTCACCTCCTGTAGCAGGAGAGTGAGTTCTCGAGTGGGGCAATCATGCTGAGCCTTACGCAGCAAATACTGTAGCTCACTGCGGTGTTGCACTTGCAAAGCAGAGAGGGAGCTTCCCATACTTACCACAATGAAAAATACTCACCGGGATCCGCGAAGCGGATGAGTGACGCGTCTGAAACCCTTGCTGGGCGAGGTGAGTGCTGAGGGCCCCACGTTTGGGCGCCAGTTGTTGCGGTTCAATGACAAGACAGCACAGAGCTTTAAGCAAGCAAGCAAGCTGGTCTGCCAACAGACTTCTGCCTGTCAGCTTTCCACCCTCTCCTTTATTCTTTTCTCTCCCCCCACGCATTACATTCTCCAACAGATAAAAGGAATACACTGGCTTTGTTTAACATTCTTATTTACCAATTTCTATCTACCGCATTCCTTGCTCTCGGGCCTTGAGCCCAGTCCTGGGAGGCTTCCCACGGTTCATGTCATCTGGGCGAGATTCCAAGGTTCATGCCCTTGAGAGGAGCTGTGTGTGCACAGCTCCTACACAACACTCCAGGTGTGCCCTGAATGTTGCCAAGCGCATGAACCTTGTATGAATCCTACAGGAGAACGCAGCTTCTCCAAGCTGAAGTTAATAAAAAACATCTACGCTCCACAATGACACAGGAGAGGCTGGTCAGCCTTGCAACCATCTCAATAGAGCATGAGCTGGCCCAGACTGTGGACCTTCAGCAGGAAGCAGTTCAAATCTTTGCAACCAAGAAGAGACGGAAAGCACCACTTTGATTATTCAAACAGATAAAAATGCCAGACAAGAAAAGTTACATTTGCTGTTCAGGCGTTTGAAAGTTAAGTGTTACTTAAAATTTTTGAACAAGGCATTTTAAGTTGGTTCTCCTTTACTGGGGTAGGTAGCAGAGCAGTACCATGAGAGGAGCAGACAGGAAGAAGGCAGAATTGATACCTATCAAAGTTTCGGCCCAAGCCAGGGGGCATGGGGGCGTCATTTGAGCTCCCCGCCTCAGGTGCCAAAATGTTGTGGGCCGGCCCTGTGATCCAGTATGACTGGATGTCACTGAAGTTAGAGATGGGAAAGACATGGCACCTCAGTGTGGAAAAGGAATGGTAACAGTGTAACGCTCCTTTAGACTCGCGTTGAATTTGGGGCAGTAGTTATGCAGACATGGCTGAGAATTCTGTTGGCAGCTGTGATTGTCTTTCTCAGCCAGTGGCAGGATTAAAGCCTCTTCAGCTTTATGTACCATGCTGAATAATTTGGCTGGACTTTCATGCACGTGGCCCGTGCAGAGCAGGGATGGCATAAGACTCTTGTCCAGCTTCATCTTTAATGATATTAGCTGTGAATTTGAACCAGCAAGGTGATATCTCCCAGACCTCCTTTGCCAGACCTTATTACCATTAACCAACAATTAGGAGCTAGTGTCTCTGAGCCATAAAGGAACACAGGAATTGCTACACTGGCTCAGACTAGTGGCCCATTTTAGTGTGATATCTTGTATCTGACAGTGGCCAAAACCAGCTTTAAAGGAAGGTGCACAAAACCCCATAATGGCCAGTTATGCAATAACCTGCCCACAAGGAGATGTTTCTTTCTAACCTCTATCAGCTAGAGATTAGTTTATGCCAGGAAATATGGGTTTTATATTCCTTATTAAAATTATCATTTCTAATATAACTGTGAGTGTTTCAGTATTCAACAAATGTCTACTCCTTCCTTGAATACTACTCTTGGCCATAATGATATCTTGTGGCAATGAGTTCCATGGGTTAATTGTGATGTAAATGGTATTTCCTTTATCAGTTTTAAATCTATTGCCTTTCAACAGCATTGAATGTCCCCTTGTTCTTGTATTATGAGAAAGTGTAAATAGGAGGACCCAATTTATCTCCCTTGTGCCATTCTTTATTTTGTGTATCTCTGTTGTGTCATCTCTCATTACTCTTCTAGCTAAACAGTCCCCATCTTTGTAATTTCTCCTAATACAGAAGCCTTTCAATGCCTCTAATCATTTTTGTTCCCTGTCTCTTAACCCTTTTCTATTTCTGTTACATACATAACTTTTTAGATAGAGTGACCAGAATTTGAACACAGTGTTCCAGATTCAGGTGTGATGTATGAGTGCCAGTGTGGGAGGGGGCAAATCTAAGTACTTTAAAGGAATCTAATTTACATACAGGGTGAAACTAAATTGATTGGGGAGGGAAGGAGAAGGTATAAATTACACTAACTAAGGTGCTCTGAGATTTACCTCTGTTTTCTGGGTCAGCTAATCTCTGCATTTTTAAGCATGCAAAAAGGGGATTTTGGTGTGAATTTGCTTTAACAAATTTTTGAAAAGTAATCTATGAAACAGCAGATTTGGATTGAGGGAGACAGAAATTACCACAACATGCTTTACAAATATTAATAGGTATCACTGTTTAGGTATAGATTTAGGAAACCAGGGAGAGAAATGTCCTCCTAAGTGGGATTTGTATGGGCTGAGTGTCCTGACTTCAGGGTTTCTTGTTCTCCAGGTGTATGGTAGGCTATGTTAATGCCAGTCTATCTGTATTTCTGGTGTCCGACTTTGAAAACCGTTCGGAACCAACATCTAATGGAAGTGAATTTTCTGGCTCACCATTAAAATATTGCAGGTAAGAATCTCACCAAAATATCCTTTTCTTTTTAAAAAATCACCAGGTGGAAGCATCATGCTAGAGTCTCTCTTGACTTGTTTTCAAAGTTTAAAAAATGAAATGAAAAATGCATTTTGTATACGTAAAAGGAGTAAAAAGTACAGAACACCACTTATACTGTGCCTACGAGTGGGGAGGTGCCCAATCTTTGGAATAAGGAAGGCTGCCTTGGCAACTAGCCAGGATCTTGAAGGACATCTGAAATTTGCATAAAAAAGTCTTTCTAAAAAAAAAAGAACTAAAAGAACTGCCCACAAGCATATTATTTGCTTATCCTTCAATTTTCACTGACAGATTGTGGAGGAGACTTGATCTGATCTTGGGTTTTAATCCTGGTTCTAATGCTGACTTTCTTGCTCACTCTACCTGTAGAGTAAAATTCACCTTTCTGCAGAGAGCCTGCATAGGTCTATGCACTATGTAAGTCCCACCTAAGCCCTATTTTGATGGCTTATGTGATGCCTAGGACTTATACAGGCTCTGTGCATAGGAGCGAATTTCACCGTACGTGAAAAACCATTGCAAGAAACACCCTGTGCTCACAATACCTGTACAACATCTTATGTGCCCATACGATAATTGTCCCATGCCTTATGTCGGAGCTGGTTTTAATGGTTGGTTACAACACCTAGTAAAGCTGAACTAGTAGAAACTCCAGTGGTTTCTCTCCATTGCACTGGTTCAACCAGTCCTAGCTCCATCCCACAACTGAGTGCATCATATATGGAAATTCCCCACTGTCCTCTGCTCCCAGCAACAGTGTTTGGCTCTATGCAATAGGGCTTCATAAGACCCAGAAAACACCAGTGCAACAATGGTGTTAAGATCTGCTCTGTGTGGATGCACACACATTGTTCCATCAAAACAGTGTTGCAGAGACCTGGTAAAGACCTTTGCAAGGACAAGACTCTCTATTTGTCCTTGAATAAGTCTCCTAACCTCCCTCTTTGGTTTCTCCATCTCTTAGTGGTGATAGCATTTATTTATGCCCAAAAGTCATATATAAGAATTAATTTGTTAATGTTTTCAAGCTCTTTGAACATGAAAAGGGCCATATAAGCACTAAGTATTATTATTGAAGGGGCTTCGCATCCGCAGGAAATTCCAACATTTTGTTTTCATCCCAAATTTGGATGAAAAGTCGAAACTTCAAATTTTTTCACAGAACAGAAACTCAATAAAGTTTCATTTTGGTAATGTTGGGAACTTTTTTTTTTTTTGGACCGAAATGAAAATTTTGACATCCATGAAATCAAAATATTTATTCCATTTTGTTGGAATGACCCAAAATGCTCTGTTTCAAGGGGGAACTTGGGCAGAACAACTGTGTAATGCTGTTATTTTATAATGCAGAGTTGGTTTGTGAACATGAGCTCAAATGACTGCAAAGCCTCTTCTTTATTATGAAACAATAAAATATCCTTTGATCGGTCTCTAGAGCCCAAGGGTACTTTAGTGTCCAGTGAAAAGACTCCTGACATTTTGTTAAAAGTCTGAAAATAATATTACTTGCACTTCTATAGCAAACTGAGCTGTTTTCCTCTGAAGTTAATGTTTTCATTTAGGGAGCTGAAACAATTATGAGACTCTACTGCACACTATTTGGCAGGATATAACCCTAAAAATAGGTTAGATCAATACATATCCTATTCTGTGATACAGAGCTGCTGGCCAAAAAAGGCTTCATTCCAACTTAATAATCTTAATATTTTTTATAAGATTTGTCTCTGACCATCCACCACTTAATATCAATGGGGTTACAGATTAAAATAATATTTGCTTTTGATATTTTAGAGAAATAGAAACCAGCGCTGTTGCGCTCCTTCAGGGAGTTCCAAATTCTGCAGCTGTTAGCTAGTGAGATCTCCTGTTGAGGTCAATGTGAGATTTCCCTGGGTAAGCACTAAATGCAGACTTCAGGATTTGGCCTGGGATACACATGCATGTGTAACACCAACAGACCCTGGTTGTCAGTGGGCGGGATTGAACGAACCTGGGACCTCTGGAGCTTAGTGCATGAGCCTCTACCACATGAGCTAAAAGCCAGCTGGCTCTTAGCTAAGGCTGTAGAGCAGACTCATTTAGCTCTCTCTCTAAGTGGCCTCAGTGGCACTGGGTGGGACAGAACACCACAGCCAAGGAGGTGTGTGGGTTACACGTGCTACTAACATCTGTAGGATAATTATCATAACCATAATAGTCATATAAATCACATATATATTCTTAAACATTTCTTGCCAGAGGGCTCACAGCATTGTGGTATCTAGAGCTCTGCCACAGTATTAATAATGAAGTCATCCCCATCATCTAAAAATAAACTAATTCTTACTTGTAAACCAGGCCCTTTTATCAAATAAAAGATTTTGTCTGGCATGAAGAAAGGGTGGGGGAGAAACTCCATAAATTTAGCCCAACAATTAAACAAATCTTCCACAAAAACAACTAAAAAGGAGATAGTCTTAGCTCTCATTCTCATCCTCTGGCATTTGTTACAGGGAGGCTAATTGGCCTTAACCCACTTCAACTAAAGCAGGATTTGGCACTTGAATCTCAGTTTGCTAATTCAAACTGCCACTGCAAAATCACTAGATACAGCTATGTTCTTTGGCAAGTATATTTACTTATTAAATATATATGTCCCTGCCTGTGGAATGGAGAGTGTGACTGACTTCCTTTTAATCGGTTTACAAGACATTTAATGAACCTGAATTCTACCGGTTTCACAGTAGCAGCCATGTTAGTCTGTATCCACAAAAAGAACAGGAGTACTTGTGGCACCTTCGAGACTAACAAATTTATTTGAGCATAAATTGTTTCGTCTCACTTCATCGGATGCATGCAGTGGAAAATACAGTAGGGAGATTTTATATACACAGAGAACATGAAACAATGGATGTTACCATACATACTTTAACGAGAGTGATCAGGTAAGGTGAGCTATTACCAGCAGGAGAGGGCCGGGGGTGGGGGCGAACCTTTTGTAGTGATAATCAAGGTGGGCCATTTCCAGCAGTTGATCTTGGTAATTTCAATTGTACTTTAAAGCCCCATATTGATAGGAATGAAAATTAGTTTAATCGTTTATCTGCAAAGAAATTACAGAGAAATGTATTCCACAATGTAGTTTGTATGATGGATAGGAGTCCTTTAATTTTCAAGCAAGACAGTTTATGCAGACAGATCTGTTAATAATTTACCATTGCTGTTACAGAGCCCAGATTTTTCCCTCCATATGAGACACAAAACAATCTGTTAAAGTCTTCCCTAGTTCCTGGGCTGCTGTATTTATTTAGTCCCTTATAAGTACAAAAATTACCAGATTACCTCATAGAAGACCCATCTCTAGCTAAGGTTCCCAGCCAGGGCCTTCTATTACAGTCCTTAAACAGCCACTAATCTTCCTCTTTTGTAAAACATTTCATGCTCAGGAGCCAGTGTTTTGGCTGCAGAAGGGAATAAGTGGGCAGCTAAAACAATTTGCACTGAAGATGCTGAAATGTAAGAAGAATTCAGTGCTGACTGAAATCCCAAAACACCATTTATTCCATTTGTGTATAGATGCCTCTCTAATTTGAGGCCTATCGGTCAGAGAAAAAATATGTTTTTGTTTATCTTCTTTCTCCTGTGGGTTTGGGTTGCTTTTGTTTCTAAATTAGCTTAGAGCTAAAAACTTCTGTGTATTACTTAACATGGTATATTCAGACATTGTTCATACCCAGTTTTCAAACCTGTGTAGGAAACAGATTAGGCAGAAGCTAAATTTCCCCTCCTTTTTAGATTAGGTTTCTGTGGGATTATTTTGGAATTACCTCTTTGACAATAAAATCAAATCCATATGAATGTTATTTTATTGAGGGCTTGGTTCTTCAAAAGACAGTTTTTAAAAACAGTAGACCTGATTCTCCTCTCACACTGGTTTTACCATGGAGTGGTGTCATTGGGTGAAATCTTGGCTCCACTGAAGACAATGACAAAACTCCCACGGACTTCTGTGTGGCCAGGATTTCACCCATTGACTTCAGTGGAGTTATTCATTATTACCATTGGTAGAAGTGAGGAAAGAATCAGTATTTTAGAAACTTGTATCATTTTTGTCTTGAGATCCCTGTTGTTGCAAGGAGGATATAGTCAAAGAATAGCATTCTGTTATGTTCTCTGTGAAGCGTAGCAGTTTATCACTGTACTGAAATGCAACATTCGGTTTGTTTTTCAGGTACAGAGACTATCGAGACCCTCCTCATTCCCCGGTACCCTATGGCTACACATTGCAATTCTGGCATGTCTTAGCAGCACGGTTGGCTTTTATTATTGTATTTGAGGTCAGTTTTCATATAAGGGACTAGATGATATAATTAATAATTAAGCAATCAATTTGCAAACACCTAGAAGATAATAAGATGATAAATAACGGTCAGCATGGATTTGTCAAGAACAAATTGTGTCACACCACCCTAATGACTTTCTTTGACGTGGATAGGGAGGAAGTGGTAGATGTGGCATATCTTGACTATAGTAAGGTTTTTGATATTGTCTAGCATGACCTCCTCTTAAACAAACTAGGGAAATACAATCTAGATGGAGCTAATATAAAGTGGGTGCATAACTGGTTGGAAAACCATTCCCAGAGAGTAGCTATCAGTGGTTCACAGTCAAGCTGGAAGGGCATATCGAATGGGGTCCCACAGGGATCAGTTCTGGATCCGGTTCTGTTCCATATCTTCATCAGTGACTTAGATAATGGCATAGAAAGTATAAATTATAAAGTTTGCGGATGATACCAAGCTGGAAGGGGTTGCAAGATCTTTGGAGGATAAGATTAAAATTCAAAATGATCTGGAGAAATGATCTGAAGTAATGGTCTGGATGAAATTCAATAAGGATAAGTACAAAGTACTCCACTTAGGAAGGAACAATCAGATGCACACATACAAAATGGGAAACGACTGCCTAGGAAGGAGTACTACAGAAAGGTCATAGCAGATCACAAGCTAAATATGAGTCAACGGTGTAACACTATTGCAAAAAAAGCAAACATCATTCTGGGATGTATTAGCAGGAGTGTTATAAGCAACATACAAGAAGTAATTCTTCTGCTCTACTCCACGCTGATTAGACCTCAGCTGTAGTACAGTGTCCAGTTCTGGGTGCCACATTTCAGGAAAGATGTGGAGAATTTGGAGAAAGTCCAGAGGGGAGTAACAAAAATGATTGAAGGTCTAGAAAACATGACCTATGAGGGAAGATTGAAAAAATGGGGTTTGTTTAGTCTGGAGGAGAGAAGACTGAGAGGGGACATAACAGTTTTCGAGTACATAAAAGGTTGTTACAAAGAGGAGGGAGAAAAATGGCTCTCATTAACCTCTGAGGAGAGGACAAGAAGCAATGGGCTTAAATTGCAGCAAGGGCAGTTTAGTTTGGACATTAGGAAAATCTTCCTAACTGTCAGGGTGGTTAAGCACTGGAATAAATTGCCTAGGGAAGTTGTGGAATCTTCACCACTGGAGATTTTTAAGAGTAGGTTAGACAAACACCTGTCAGGAACGGTCTAGATAATACTTAGTCCTGCCTTGAGTGCAGGGGACTGGACTAGATGACCTCTCAAGGTCCCTTCCAGTCCTATGATTCTATGATTAAACGGTTGCAGTATGTACAAGGCCTGTGGAAGTGGTTAGGTTATGGACTTGGGTGGAGTGAAGAGCGCAAGAAGGGAGAGAGTAAAGAAAGAAGTATAGAGATGTATCCAATGAGAACCCTTGGATTATTCGCTGGGTTGACATAAAAAAAGCTCTATGGGACAGAGGATCAGGCCTCTCTTTCTGTTTGGAAACCACCTAGCACATTGTAGGTGCCACAGGCACTGGCTTCCTCTGGGCCCCAATGGTGCTCAATCTCCTGCTTTGCCCCAGGCCCCGCCCCCACCCAACCCCTTCCCCAAAACTTCCACCCCCACCCCACCTCTTCCTGCCCATGCTCCGCCCTAGGCCCTGCCCCCACCCCACCCCTCTCCCAAGTCCCCACCACCACCCTGCCTCTTCTGTCCCGCTTCACTTCCCACCCAGTTCTGCCCCCTCCCCCGAGTACACCCCATCCCCGCTCCTCCCCCTCCCTCCCTCCCAGCACCTCCTGCATGCCGCTAAACAGCTGATCATGGCAGGTGGGAGGTGCTGGGAGATAGGGGGAGGAGTTGATCAGGGGATCCGCTGGCAGACAGGAGGTGCTGGGAGACAAGGAGGGAGCTGGCTGCTGGTGGGTGCTACGCACCCCCTGGTTTTTTCCGTGGGTGCTCCAGCCCTGGATCACCCACGGAGTCGACACCTATGGTAGGTGCTACTGGAAAGAAAGAACAATTATCATAAAAGATTTAGCTAAGACAGAAATACTTAAGGGAAGCTTTGTCATTGAGTTTGGAGATGGAGATCAGTGTAAATAACTACACTAAATAATAACAACTGCAACACGCCATCCTGAACCTAGAGTTAATGTAGAGCAGTTTAAGGTGTGGCTACTTTGCATTTGGACTTAGCTCAAACACAGCAGAAGATAGATACTAGGACGTATCTCTTAAAAGAAAAGTTATTCATCTTGCAGACAAACAAAAACGGAAAGTGATGTGCCAAGGCTAAAGGATCATCATCCCTCAGATGTAGCAAAACACACCAGTTTAGCTATTGCATCTTTCTGCTGCTGACGAGAGAATTCATAGGAAGAGTTGCTACAGCTTCTATTCTGTAACCCTTAAACTAAAGAGCCCAAATTGGAGTGAAAAATATCCTTTTTCATCTCCAATTTGTCTACGTGAGACGGAAGAGGGCTCTGGTTCCACCGATTGTTCACCAAACTTCATAGAACAAACTCCAAAAAACCTCTTTGATTAAACAAAATGGAAAAGAAGAGAAGAGCAGAACAACTCTCCTCAACCGCACCAATTTTTATTCTAATATGCCTAAATCATTAGGGACAAAATGATTGATAAATGCACCGGATATTTAACAGGGACATTTTAGGTAGATTGCAGTGTGGTTTTATATTAGAGGTACAGAACATTCGAAAGCAGCATTGTTTTCCAGTAATAATGACTTGGGTCTGAAATCACTGGGAGTTTTTCCAGAGTAAAAAAAGGAGTAAATCCTTTGTCCCCTTTCCTGCAGTGTGATCCACTAGCATTGGCCCCCTACTTCCAGACAGAGTCCACCTGATTTCAGGGCACAGACACCAGAGTCTGAACTAACAGATCACACAGCAGGATTGAGGCCTTAATTTCTATACTGAACTTTGTGACAGTATTATTGCGCCAAATCAAGCAGTGGTTTAGTGCTTGCTCAGGCATCGGTCTCCGCTGACTTCGGCTGGAGTTCTGCCTGAAGAGGGACTGCAGGATTTGGTGCCTTAATATTTCAATTTTTAATAAAAGTTTGAGTTCTAGATCAACATCTTTTTGTTACCTAGGAGATTTTACTCCCCTTTGAAAAATGAATCAAACTGGAAACTGTAGTAAAAAGATTAATACTTTTTATCCCTCTTAAATCCTTTTGTTTTCACAGCACCTTGTCTTTTGCATAAAGCACCTGATTTCGTATTTAATCCCAGACCTTCCGAAAGATCTGAGGGATCGGATGAGGAGAGAAAAGTACCTGATTCAGGAAATGATGTACGAAGCAGAACTGGAACGTCTGCAGAAAGAACGGAAGGAGAGGAAGAAAAATGGAAAATCTCATCACAATGAATGGCCCTGACTGGGTGAGGGAGAAATTATTTAAATGGAACCATTAATTCTAGTTAGTTATGCAATAACCCAGATTTATACTGGGTTGGGAATAGTCAGGAGTGGATGAGAACAACTTAAAACTATATTGCATGCAGTTAGCATGCATGTGCCCCTATTCAAAATGCACACATCAGACTAAAGTCTCTGCACTGGACCCCAGACAGCTTCCAAGGCCAGTTTAAGGTCTTGTTCCTAACCTTAAAAGCAATTCATGGATCAAACCCCAGCCACATTAAAGACCCAGTTTCAATTTATGAACCGCCACAACAATTACACTCCTCTGGGACAATACAGATCACAAAACCCCGGACAAAGCACATGAGAGCTGGGGACAAAGCATTCTCGGTTGAGGGGGTCTAGCTATGCATCATAATTCCAGAGATTAGGCAAATCCAGAGTCTTGTCTTGTCTTCAGGAAGTGCTGCAAAGTCATCGTCTTCAAAAAAAGACTTTTCACCAAAGCAAGAATAACACAACATTGACACCCCCATCGGCCTTATAAACCTCAACCAACAAAAACAAAATAGCAAATTAATAAAATCTAAAAAATCAAAACCAAAAACCCTACCCCAAGCAAAAATTTTACCCCAAAAAGGGAGAAGTGGCAGGGACTCCAGGAAATCCGCTCGTGGCTTCATTATTGCTATTGATTTTATGTAGACGGAGCTGAGATATTATGTGGTAGGCAGCCACATACACCATGAAGATAGATTGATTTACATTTCTATAGCACTTTCTGTCTAAGCATGTTAAAGTGCTTCACAAGCATTAATGATCTGAGTCTCCCAATACTGCTGTGTGGTTGCCAAGCAAAGTTGTGCCTGTTTCACAGGTGTGCGAAGATGAAAAGCCCATTGGAGGAGTTGGCTGCACAGCTCTTCTAAAGAATAGGCAGGTGCCCAATTATGGATTTAGGTGTTTAGCATTAGGTGTGCTTGAAAATCTTATCCAGAGTAGTGGCCTGCTTTTCAGAGGTGCTGAGCAGCTGCAGCTCCCATTGAGGTACATAGAGGACTGACCAGTACTCAGCACCTCAAGCCTTAGGTGACTCGCCTAAAGTCACATGCAGGAGGTTTGGGGCAGAACTATAACCCAGATTTGTTTGTACTGCATTAGCACCTAGTGGCCTCCAGCACGGATTAGGGAATACTGTACCCAAACATAACAAGCAGATGGTCCATGTCCCACAGAGTTTACAGTCAAAAGATGAAATGACAGGTGGCTACAATTACCAGGGGGGAGCACATAGCCATCCAAGAGCTCCTGACTCTGAGTCTTGTTCTTTATTCATGAGACCATCCCTCCAAAAATGTGGTAAGAGGTTTAAAAGGTACATTAAAATATGAAATGACATTAAATCCTACATGCAGAATAATAAGGTGATAATTCTGGACAAGTAATGGAAAAAGAATTGGTCACTACAAACATCAGCCAATAACTGATCTGACTAAAAGGACTCAGGGATAAACAATTTAGGTCTAAATTATTTTGCAAAGTGTTCAGCTTTCCACTGTTAAACATTCCAAAAGCCACTCACCCGAATTACATGCGATCTTAGGAACCAGCAACTGAATAAGTGTCAGATGGTGTGATACAAATCAGAACATGCTGGCTGGATGTTGTTAAAAGTAAGCTGGGTCTCACTCCTAAGTAATAACACTGAAATGCCTGCAGAATATAAAAGCATAAACACCATCCAGGTCACTCAGCAGCCCGATCTATAGGAATACAAATGGACATACAGATCAAAGTGAACGTAGACCTGGTGGGATTCCCTTAGAAACAAAATAGGAATGTGAGTCAAACAATTTGATTTAACACTTTTCTAAGTAAATAGAGTGCCAACACTTTAACCAAGTCCGTGAAGAAGGCGGCACAGACCTGTCCCTTCTCCGGACTTTCCCAATGGATTTCAAGCTGCATCCTGCTTTGTGACAAGTTAACAGCAGCTCCTCCCACACAAGGCACGAGGGCCCACTCACCCAGGCCACGCTGGCAGCTTCACTTTGAGATGTCCCTCTTCTGGAGAGCGGTATAGCGGCAGCGTACACACGTTTGCAAAACATTATTGCCTGGTGCAAGATTCTGCCAAACACATCCTTTGGCAGAGCTGTCCTCTAATCCGTGGTACAGAAGTGCTCCTCACACCCTCCTCCTCAATTAATACTGCTTGTGAATCACCTAGATTGGAATACACTTAGGAACCGTCACTCAAAGAAAGAAAGATTACCACAGGAAGTGGCTGTCATCGCAGTATGTGGTCCCTATCTGTATTCCACTACCTGCCCTCCTTCCCCTCTGCTGCAGAGCCTTATCCTAGGGCTATTCCTGATTAAAAGGTAACCAGAGAAGCGGTCGGTCCATGCCACCACTTGTGCCCTCAGTTTTTTAGAGGAGGAGGAAGAGAAGGATGCCAGGTGCAGATCGATGGCCACTGCTAGCACGAATCTTCCAGGCACATGGAACCCATGCACACCTCAAGTGGATTATAGATAGGGACCACACATCTTGAAAATCTCCATTACTGTACGAGTGAGTAACCTTTCTTTATGCAACGTAATGCGCCAGAAGATACACATGTGTTGGATGGCTATTTGTTTCCCAATCACCGCTGCAAGGTGTATGTGGCTTACACAGCAATGGCAAATGCTGACTGCTCAGCCGCTAATGCTCGTGCAAAGCATATTAAGGCCAAGTTCATATAAACAAGTAGATTAAATAGACTGAGATTAATTTGTTTGCAAAAACTGTATAAGCAACTTTAAAATCACAGGTGACAGACTTTCAGAAAGAGTTTGCTAAATAGTAAAATCAGATGCAAGTCACACCTGAATCACAGTCTTATATATGTGTTTTAAGCTATGCAAACCTCCTCCAGTGAGATATCGCTCTGGCAGTTTAGATCAGAGACATTCAGTGGTGCAAGTACGGTGGTATGGTCCAGTTCACCGTACCAGTAAGATATTTATGGCTGGCACTCTGTACTGGAAAGACACAGGAGAAACAGAACACGCAACTCCTCCGGCATGGCTGTACCGCCCCCAGCCCCGCCCCCAGCCCTTTCTTGAAGCTATGTCTCCTGTCTGGGGTTTGTATAGCAGCTCCGCTAGGGACAGGGCTGGGGCGGGGTTGGGGGCAGTACATCTGCACCAGAGGAGCTGCTGGCGTGGGGCCACTCGGCGGCCCCACATTCTGCTCCTTTCGCCACTGTGGTTCCAGAGAGCCCTGCAGTTCAGAAGTCTTCAGCGCAGCGGGAGGAGGACAGAGCCCCCCCACCCAGGTAACATATGATGGATTATGGGGAGGGGACGGGGAGAGTGCGAGGGCCCCAGGCTGGATGCGGGGGGGTTGGAGTCACATGGGGAGGTCACGTGCCTCCCTTTAGCTGGTGCCCCCCTTTGTGTCCCTCCCATGAGTGCAGCGTACCAGTAAGAAATGAATTCTACTTGCACCACTGGAGACATTCCTAACTTTGAATTGCGCCATATTATAACAATCTGATTTTCACTCTTGAGGAACCTCAGTAGGTCAACATGACAAATCAAATAAAGTGAAGCAAAGATACAATCAACTGCGGATTGCTTTTGAGACCAGTTTTCAACACAGCTATGTTTTGTTGATACTTCATTATTCTAAATTGCTAGAAGTTGTCTTGGGTATTGCTGAAAACGAGAACATAAGCTGGCACTGGAAGCTGTCAAAGTTGGCTCACCTTGAGCCTGATCCTGCAAAATTCTGAGACCCTCCAGGAAGGTGCTGAGCACCCTCTAATTCCATTGATTTATCCACTCAGCACCTCACAGGGATGAGCCCTGCCATTCTGCACAACAGAGTTCCCCTTTGTCTTTCACTGTTATACAGCAGTTCAAACAGAAAATAGTGAGTGTGTGTGTTTGGAGGGAGGCTAATAAGACAAATGTATAACAAAAATTGTAGCTTTCTAATGGCAAACTGAATTGTTCTGTTTTCTAGGTAGCAAATGCATTCCTGTAGTGTGTTTCTGATCTGGTATTGTTTTTGTTTATGGCTCCCGATCATGGACCTGTACTCTGTTTACTTATCCCAAGAGCACTACCTTGAAGAGAATGAAAAAATGCAACCTCAATGCATGCCACAGACATTTTACATAGCAAGCAGGACAGCACATTTCAGAGGATTTACTGTGAAATCATTTTGCAATCCAGCATATGACTGATATCCATAGACCACTCTCAACAGAGCTAGCATGTATTTTATGGGCAATTATACTCAAGTTTTTAAAACCAAGGAAAAATTGTATACTGGGACTGTTTTTTCAGCCTGTTTGGTACGTTTTTTGCATTCTGTCCCATGCGCGTTTTACAGAACTTAGAATAATAAATGTAAATTAAAAACCAGGATACACTGACAAAAAATGCCCAGTATTACAAGACCATCTATTTTCAAGCCACCAAATAAGACAACTGAAACCCTGTTTACAAATGAGTTCTTTTTTTATTTCAGATCTTTGTGCAGAGACTTATGTTATATACTATATATATAAAGTATATAGATTGTTTATTTGTAAATAGCAAAAACAACCAACCTATGGAAAAGAATGTCAAATTTTTGCACCTATAAAAACGTCATCAACATAAAGCCATGTTTAACGCTTGTATGTGTTGCAATAACTTTAAAATAAATTATGCATATGAAATCTTTGTTGTTGAGCTTTTGTAAGTCATCTTATGTTATCTAATTTTGAGCAGAGGGACAAATCTGAGGCGAAATACAAATGCAAGCCCAAAATGATCAAGACCCTATCTTAACACTTTCTCTGTAAATCCATTGTGTATTTATTTACTCTGATGAATTAAGAAAAGGAGGACTTGTGGCACCTTAGAGACTAACAAATTTATTTGAGCATAAGCTTTCGTGAGCTACAGCTCACTTCATTGGATGCATTCAGTGAAAAATACAGTGGGGGGATTTATTTATGTAACCCTTTTTCCCGTCAGAGTTGGCAGCAACAAGGGCCGGGTTCAATATCTAGGGGATCCATTCCAATAACACAATGCAAACCAGCCCGAGCTCCCACCCAGTGACCTGGGACAAATATATACCATCCCCGCTGCACGCCTCCAAGAGGCAATACTTCCCCTCTCGCAAGCACATAGTCTGAGTGTAGCAAAAAGCCTTTTAATAACAGATAGAAACAATGTGGCATTATGTTGGGGAAACACCACCAACAGGATTCATAACACAACCCATGAGCAAAAAAACCCACCCCAAGCAAATTGGGGCATGCCCTTTCCCTATGGTTCTTGAGTCCAGCAATCCCAAATCACCCAAAGTCCCAAAAGTCCAATGACCCAAAAGTCTCTGTCCCTGGTCAGGGCAGCCCCAAAGTTCGAAAGTTTATCTGCAGAGCTTTATCTCCCAACCTGGGTGGAGATGGGGGGAGGGAAGGAGAGAGGTAAGGGGCACCTTACATGATCTGAAGCTGACCGCCCCACAGCTCCATAGGCCTTCGCTCCGCTCCACCAGCTGCCCTACAAACTGCTTTGCTCGGCTCCACGGCCCACAAGCAGCTCCCACCGTCCCACGAACTGCTCCGCTCCGCATCCCACAAGCAGCTCCCGCCGTCCTATGAACTGCTCCACCAGCCTGTCCACTCCAGCCATCCCGCAAACTGCTCCACAATATATCTTCAGGCTCCCCCACTACTTAACACAACGCTCAGTGATTTCAGCTCTTAGTCAGTTCAGCTCTTTCGTGAATTCAGCTTGTAGTAGGGGAGCCTCAGTGCTGGTGCACCATTAGCCCAAAGTGAGCTCAACAGCCTGTAACTAGACTGCTAATGGAATCAAAATTAGCTCTGATATTCCACAGTGGAGAGAGGATGAAGTGCAATTAGCATGTAAGGCCCCCACCAAGGGGCCCATACCACTAAGTATTAATACTTATCCACAGCCTCTCTCAATTCACAGAGTTTTGAACCCATGACCCTTGCCTAGCGAGTGCTACTTAGTTGATGGTGAGTCCCTCCATCATAACAAAAGGCCAAGTACAGTTCCAAGCACAGTTCCCATAATCAGGGTAATAACAATTTATTCTTCTTGCCCCAATAACAGAGACACTGGGGATCCCACAGCAGCCGAAGTGACCATTTGGGCAGCTATGGCCTCATTCTAGGTGGGGTGGGTGTGCCTATGCAAATGAGATCGGCCCCTGAAGTTCTTTTCCACAACTTGCCACACCTCACCACCAGATGTCAGGGTGGAGCTCATCCTGACTGCTTACATATACACAGAGAACATGAAACAATGGGTGTTACCATACACACTGTAATGAGAGTGATCACTTAAAGTGAGCTATTACCAGCAGGAGAGCGGGGGGGGGGGCATTCCTGGCACATGATGGCATACTCATTCACCTGCACATCTACCGATGTGATATATGCCATCATGTGCCAGCAATGCCCCTCTGCCATGTACATTGGCCAAACTGGACAGTCTCTACTAAAAGAATAAATGGACACAAATCAGACGTCAAGAATTATAACATTCAAAAACCAGTCGGAGAACACTTCAATCTCTCTGGTCAGTCGATTACAGACCTAAAAGTGGCAATTCTTCAACAAAAAAACTTCAGAAACAGACTCCAATGAGAGACTGCTGAATTGGAATTAATTTGCAAACTGGATACAATTAACATAGGCTTCAATAAAGACTGGGAGTGGATGAGTCATTATGCAAAGTAAAACTATTTCCCCATGTTTATTCCCCCCCCCAACCCCCCGCACTGTTCCTCAGACGTTCTTGTCAACTGCTGGAAATGGCCCACCTTGATTATCACTACAAAAGGTTCCCCCCCGCCCACCCCCCAGCCCTGCTCTCCTGCTGGTAATAGCTCACCTTAAGTGATCACTCTTGTTACAGTGTGTATGGTAACACCCATTGTTTCATGTTCTCTGTGTATAAATCTCCCCACTGTATTTTCCACTGAATGCATCCGATTAAGTGAGCTGTAGCTCACGAAAGCTTATGCTCAAATAAATTGGTTAGTCTCTAAGGTGCCACAAGTACTCCTTTTCTTTTTGCGAATACAGACTAACACGGCTCTTACTCTGAAACCTGTCATTGAAGCTAAGTGTTACGATTTATTACCTCAGCATGCTTTTAAACTGAGATGCAGTATTTCTTTTTTGAACACACCAGAAGCAGAAGAACTAGCTTCTTGCACCATCAGATTATCAAGCCTTTTCTGCTATACGTATACCAGCTGAGAATCTGGCCCAATTGTGCACCATTTTTGTTTCAGCCTTCTCTGGGCTATTTCAGTAAGCATTTTAGGTAAGTTCCAGTAAGCATTTTACTTCCACAGACACGTTTGTAGGCTATACAGAGAGGACTTGCTGCAAACACTTATTTCCCAAAATTATTCTAGACACTGAAGAGTATTTTTAAAATTAATCTATAATACAAATGTTGGAGGTGTAAACAGCTGAATAGCTAAAAACACTGGGAAACAGAGTCAGACCAATCATCTTACCCAGAGGTTCGACAACTTAGAGCAATTATCAACTATCTTTGAAACCTAATAGTATATAATCTAACCCCTTCTGAGGATAAAGGGATAGAAAGCAGAGCTGGGCAAAGAACAAATGGGCGTTTTTTGTCATTCGTTGAAAATTCTGAAAAATTGGGAAAAATTAGTTATGGGACAAATGAAAATTTTGGCAAATTGAAAAGTCACAAAAAAGTTTGTTTCTGGTCAAACAAAAAATTTAGTTTCAACAAAATCTAAATGTTTCATCTTTGACTAGATTTTTCAATAAATGTAAAGGAAACTTTGAAGCTAAAAGTCATTGGAACTGAAAAATCGAAAAACTTCATTTCAAAACGTTGAAATAAACCATGTTTTTTTTTTGGATTTTTTTTTCCAACCAAAAGAATATGGCAATAAATCAACATGAATTGGCAAAACATTCCCATGTCACCAAATTTATGGTTTTTTCACCAGAAAAAGAATTTTGGTCAGAAAATATTGCCCAGCTCTAGTACAGAATTCGCTTGTTCCATTAACACCAAGACAAAAATGGTTTTATCCACAAAACTTTCATTTTGGTTACATTGCCATTGAAAATAGGTTTTAATGAAAAAATGTCGCTTAGCTTAACCGATCAGCCATGGCCTGTTGTTCCTACCAGAAGCGGCTGGATGAGGCGTGTGGAGGCTGCAATAATGGGTGCAGAGCAGCTCGGGTGCTGCTTCACGGTCTGGTAGGGAGAGCCTTCCTCCCACCCAGCTCCCAAAGGAACTCTACTAGGGCCAGGGCCGGCTCCAGGCGCCAGCTTTCCAAGCAGGTGCTTGGGGCAACAATTAGAACGGGGCGGCCGTCCGTGTCCCGCTGCTGTGGCAATTCGGCGGCAGCTCCACCGCCCTTGGTGCGGCGGCAATTTGGCAGCAGCCCCGGCACTGTAGTGGCGGCGACTGCTTGGGGTGGCAAAATTGCTAGAGCTGCCCCTGCCGAGTGAACACCCTAGCTGGTCAGACTATGCACTGAGAAGGAAATGGAGGGTAAGCATGGTACCAATCGAATCACTGTTGAATTCCTTGCTCAGAACATATTCAGATACCACCATGAGGGACGACTTTATAAAAACTTAAATAGAAGGGGCTCAGGGTCAGCACTTCTTCAGAGAAACATTATACTAGATAATACCGCCTTCACTATAAAAACACAACCACCTTGTGACACTGCAAGAGTGTAAAATATTGACCTTGCAATAGAAACAGTATGGAATTGATCAGGAAAGAAAAATAGCCATGTCTGTGAGAGCTAGATGCTTTTTTTAAAAATAAAATAAAATAAAGCTGAAAAATTTACTGAGTTTGAACGTAACTATTTTTATAGGAGACCAAACCAATACTGAATTACAATTTCACATAGAAACATCGGCTTTAGTCCTCCCTATAGAGATTCCTTATAAGAGGCAGAGGCCTGATTCTGTTTTCACTTTCAGCAGTGTAAATTAGGAGCAGCTCCACAGCAATCACTGGAATTATTCTGGGGAGAGACGGATCCAGCCTGATACCTTAGAACTGAATGTGTCATTCAGTGGATTGAGAAAAGCAGTTGTTTACCAAACCATCGCTTGGCTAAACGACTATGCACACGCCAAATAAATACCAAGCCAATATCGTTTGTTTCTTGCTGTGCACAATGGGTTCATTATTGGAGGTAACACAAAACATTGTCCACATTTGAGTATGCTTAAAGTTCACTTGCTCTTAGTTCATGTTCACTTCTGTCACAGGCACAGATGCATGCCTTTTGGAAGGTCTCCCAAAATAAGTAGAGTTGTATGTTATGAAGTACCCACTACCCGCCTTTTCGTCAGCCCAATAGGCTCTGATTCCTTTCTTGGAATCAGTCTTAATGGCAAGGTCATTCCAATGTGGTGATGGCCTGAAGTTTAGTAGGGATTACTGTGCGTAACCCCAAGTAGGGTGGTTAACTAACTCTTCACAGGAATGCCGGCAATGTCTTTAACACAACATCTACACTGTCCTCTTAAGTCATACATGGGGACCATTGACTTTTTCTTTATTTTCTGTGACATTCATTTCAATGTGGTTGAAAACTGGATTGTCGGTTCCTTCCTCCGCCATGGTGAAAGGTTTCCAGTTCAAAACTTCCACTTTCTCATTC